AGATAAGAGAAATACAAATTAATTTACAGAAAGAGAAACTGTCAGAGATATCTCTTCGCCACCAAGTAAGCAAGACATACAATGTTTTTGCTCTGAAAAACTTCATTTGCAGGGTAAGATTATGCTGTATCTTTTCCAAACCAATATGCACACAATCACATGCTGACACAATTGTGCTCAGAAAATCTCTTCCACATGCACACATGCTTTGATGAGTGAGTGTGTTGGTGTTTTAACGCTGTTACACTCACATGTTTGCCTCTTCCTCTAACTCTGCAATCCCACACACAGCTGCAGGTTTTATAAATTCTCCTTTGTACAATTACCTCTGCCCACATCCAGTCGTGTTTCCTTCCTTATTCCTTCATATTATTCTCATTTTCTCAGAGGACTTGATTTGATGCAAAAATAAGACGAAATACAATTTTCCTTTTTACAAAAAAAAAAAAGGATGATACTGAATCTCGTAAGAGTACTGTGAATAATATGAATGACAGTTGCTCAATGGTCAGGCTGGTAAGCTTAACATGTGTCTCTTGATATATTTAAATTGTTTCCTGATTATCATGCATATCACACAACCTGCAATATAGTTTAGGGCAGCTTTTATGCAGATAGAATAATGTTCTGTATTAAGAAAAAGGAAGAATTGTGTTATATTGTCATATATCAGGAATATCTGAGTAAAACAGTAAAAAATCACAGATGAAAAGCTGTATGAACTCCTGACGTTACCTTTATCAACAGCTGAATAAAACATTATTTCAGTGCATGTTGTTTTCAAATCAATCATAATCTTTGAGAAATCCACAATAACCTGAGCTCACAGCCCACACTGTGTGAGGGTATTTATTTGGTTAGTTGTTCGTGAAACTCTGCTCTCGTCTGAGTAGCTACTAGCCGATTGTACCAAATTTCCCATTTCAATTGAGGAATTAATAAAATGCACAGTATGTGCACATATATGCATGTCAATGATGAGTATTGTTTCCTGTCTGGTGGTAATAGAACTGCATGAGTTGGACTGTTGGACTTTGAGCCATTTCACTCAAGTAAATAGCATTACTATGCTTGAGATTCAAAACCAGAAAAAGAGCAGCAGCATAGATAAATGTCATCTAAATGTAGAAAAGAGAGAATAAAAAACAATAATGTAAGTTTAATTTAATTACTTTTATAGATCACTAACATCAAACCAGAATCAAAGCTTGTATTCTTAACCCAACCAGTCAAATTGCAGAAATATTGTCAAACCTCTGCCTGTAAATTATGGTCAGAAATGTGCTTGCTCTTTGTGGGAACTGTAATGTTTCTCTATTTGATGTAAAGTGCTTCAAGATAATCTTTATCATATTTAAGTTGTGCATTTCTGACTTTTTGGGAATTTTGTGAGCTACTTAGTTCCTCGAATGTTGGTGTCAATTATGAAGGAATTCGCTTGAGGCGTTCAGGAGAGGTTGCGTTCACATGGGAACCATGACCTTGACCTTTGACTTGACCACCAAATTCTAATCAGCTCATTTTTGATTGATTGATACCAAGTCAATGTTTTTACCAGATGCAAAGAAATTCCTTCTGTGAATTCCTGATATGTGTACAGTCGTCTCACACCCCAAAACTTACTTGACTATTCATGCGAGGCAGAAAACCTTAACCTGACACATTCCCTGCTCTCCTTATGCCTAATTAATACCATCTCGACTGTTTTGACAGAAAATTATGTGGCACCTTTCTTTTAGCTGTGGGAGGCCGTCCACCCACTCTCCTCATGTAGCAGAGCAGGGGACTGTGGAGGTTGACCAAAAATTCTACTACAATAAAACAGTCAAGGCAAACATGTGGACAAATACACAGGGTTATGTTATGATGGCGTAATTTGACATCCATATTTCAAGTAAACCTTGAAAAGCTGTAACATAACTCATTTCCCTATTTCCAAAACACCACGTCAGACTGAGTTTCCCTCGAGACAACTGAACCACCTTGATTTTCTCAACAAAATCAGACATAATTCAAATCTTCAGCAGCACGGCTGCAGCAAAAGTGGGCAAAGTGATGACAGCGCAAAGACTGTGGGGCACTTTTGCTGGCTTCCCATTTTAAAACTGGATCTTAAAAGCAGACATGTTGCCCTGCAGTGAGGCAGTACAATTTGTCAGCATTACTTGCAGGAGTTTGGGGGGTACTCATCCTTCCATGGGTCTGTTGGTGTGTAATCTGCAGTGTAAATGCAGAGCACAGTCTCTGCACTGCGTGAATTCAACAAAAACAAAATAACCCAGTTTTGATATTTTGAATTCTAATTTAAAACTTTGTGATCTGGGGAGAAAGCGCTGTTTCTGTGATAGTTTCACTTCCACAGAATTTGAGGAAAAAGTCCAAAGACAGTCTGTCCCTATTTGTATAACATCCTTTGCAGACCATACTAAATTATTGAACACAGACTACACTGACCTCCCAGTTAGTCATGCTTAATGCAGTGGTTCTAATGCTTCTCTTTGACGATGTCAGATGATAGTGATGATGCCACTCACAGCTGGTGTTGGCCAGAACTACTTGTGTAAAGAAACCTTTGTTGGTACCATGCAGGGCTTGCCAAAACAGTAACTTAGCTTCTCCCTTTTATCAAAACCCAAGTAATCCCAGTTGTGTTCACCCAGACTTCGACCTTACGGGCATACAGCTGGAAGAGACAACCCTGAAGGACAAGTTAGTGGACCATTTTATTGTTATGTTATTTTCGTGATAATCGTGATATTATTTTTGTGTTTATGAATTCTTTCGGGGGTGATGTACACCCACACACATACCAACAACTACAGAACATACAGCCTCGCATACAGACAACTTCGCTCAGCTAACTCTTATATCTTGGTATTTATCAATCTTTTTTAATCATCTATTCTCTTGTTTTTTCTTCCTGTACATTTCTCTCGTACTCTATTTAATCACATGGGATTGTTGCTGCTGCTGTCTTGGTGCCAGGACTGTTAAAATGTCATAAAGCTTGGCTGTGATTGATTGCTTGTATCTCCCTCTTACGTTCACCCGTCCTCTTCCTCTTTGTAGTCCATTAGTTATGGTAATGTTAGGTTAAATACATCTTAACTTGCTGGTGATTAATTTACACATCCCCACATGATGATTTTTGCCCCACTTCTCTTCTCTGCTCCTTTTTCATCCCTTACCCATCCTCCCTGTGCAATGTATAATTTTCTGGGACAGATGCAGTTGGGTTGGGCTAAAAGGGAGGTCTGGCTGTCAGCTCCACTGTGCAGGCTGCTGACGGAGCTCGAACTGAAAGGTCAGAAGATGAATCTGCTGTGTCACGCAGACAAAAATATGAGCGATGCCTCCGTGGGCAGGGATAACATGCTCAAACTCACGGAGATGACGGAGATGCATGACCTGTTGTAAAATACAGTAAAAAGAACACACACCAAGAAAAGCTGTTTGTCTCACTAAATGAGTGACACTAACCTCATCTTGAAAAAGCAACTGTAACTCTCTCTACTTGAAAATTCCTGATTTGATCCTAATTCTAATCTCAGTTCTAACTTTTACTGTAAAGCCTAAATCAACAAGCATAACTGATTAACAATACTCGAAGAAAACAATCGTTGTTGGTGAACCATTGACTGACTCATTTATCGGTTGGTGATAATCAGGTGTAATCAGGATAAAAAAAGGTCTCTCCCAAAAAATCCATACCAGTTGAGCCCTCATTCAACTGGATAATCATTATTGTAGTTTACATTTTAATTCTTCTACCTTCTCTTGTTAATGATCTTTGTCTACAATTGTCTTAGATTGTCTCATCTCCAAACTCCTTGAAACAGTTATCGTGTTATTACTGTGTAATCATCATTTTTATGTACTTCTGTGGTTAAGAGAAAAAACATTCTCTCAGCAGTGTTTTTCTTGATAAAATTACCTTCATCATGCAGAAAAGCATTTATCATTAACTGTTTTCACTTTCCAAAGGTTTTATGCTACAATAGATAAGATACAAATCTACTGCTTTTTGTGTTAAGTTGTTTTACAACAGTGTTATTGGTTTGCAGTCAAACCACTGAATAATCCTTTAAAGTTTATGGCAATACACAATTTCCTGTTTATTATTAAATGTTAGCAAACATCCACAGCACAGTGTGTCATAGTCAGTGTGTGGCTGTATAAAATCTTCTGTTTGTATTGCTTAATCACAGCCATACACATATTCATATTATAATAACCGTTTAACATTGAGGATTTCATCTTTAAACTTTAACATTAAGGAGTAGAATAATGTTTCCCTGTGAAAACGTGTAAATGGTTGTAATAAAATGCATCACTTAGCATAAATGTCTTCACCTCACATGTCTACAACTTAGAATGGTGGTTACTTTTATAGAATTAAAAGATCATGCAAATAGACAAATACACACACACACGCACACACACTGTCACTTACACTCATCACATTAAGACCTTGGCAAAAAACACACACATGCTCACACTTTGCCGTTAATGTGAAAGCCTCAACACCTCAGGGAACCAGTGAACCCCAGATCCATCTGTCTCCAGACAGCAGTCCTCCATTAGCCACACACATAGTGCTTTGTTAGAGACACACACAATGATAATACACAATAACACACAATGGAGGGTGCACACAAAAAAATGTTCACACACATTACCACCAGAGAGACAGAGCTTCACAATGATGCAGTCATGGATTTTGGTCAAATCCAAAGCTTTTTCCAAATTTTATCATCTCTTTTCCCAGAGAACGACACATAAGTGACAACACAAATTAGCTAATGCAAATGTGAACACAAGACGGACTCACCTGTCACGTTCTCCAGCAGTGATGTTATAAAGGTGATTGGCAGCTCCATCAGCACATGCCCTCAAGAGAGCTGGAGAGAGACAGAGCGACAGAGTGACACTTTGGTCTGTGTAAATGAAAGCAATTAGTTTTAAATGGGTACAACACCTCTTTTCATTGAGGGGAGACATTTCTACTTTTTACAAGTTACTGTTGTGTGTGATCCAGTTCAGTCTGGTTAAACAATGTGTGACAATGAGCTAGTTTTCACTGCTGCAGAGGTGAGTTAAGGGAAAAGGTGTCCTCTTTTATGTGTGCAGTTAGAAGGATTTACAAAGAGCTTCGTACAGTTAGATGTGCTCACACAAGTTCCATCTTTCCAGTGCTATTCCTGATAAATACAGTGTGTGCTCTCTTAATTCTCTTAATTCAATGGACATGTTTCATTTTTTGCGTCCAGAGTAGGAAGACAAGGAGGGACACATACGAACTAAACAATGCAGTGCACTGACCTTGGGTGTTTTTCACACCTGAAAGTCTGCACCAAGGTTTGTGTCTCCGTTACATCGTTTACATTTGATCCGCTTAGTTTTGGTTTCACATTGCTATTCATGTAGCGCACTTAAGAGTTTCGTACGACATACGTGTTTACATGGAAGAAAAGGGGGACTGATTCAATTTGTTAATTTCGATGCCGCACTAATATAGTTTCAACATTATTTTTAATGTGTCACATGAATGACCTTCTCATTCAAACATTATATCGTTGTCTGTGACTGGGCAACTATTTTATCTTTTTAAACTCTTTTATTGTTTAATGCGGTCTTAACTTCATGCAATTGGTTCCGAAAGTTTGAACTATCCATCACACCTTGATCACATCTTTTTTTTGGACAAATTTTTTGGTACATTGATCCAGATCGTGGTCAGAGGCACATTTCACACTTGTCATTTTGATTAGGATCAAAGTGAAAAGTATATTTTACAAAGAGTTTAGATAACTGCCGTATCAAGCAATGTTATTAAACACAAAATCTAATGTTAAGAGGTTGATAGTGTTCATTTACTCATTTGGCAGTTTGAACACCTACCTAAAACTAAAACTGTCTAACTAGTCTAATATAATAAATCAAATTTCACTATCATTCCAAAAGCTTTAGTGATGGTGCCGTTGATCAGTATTGTATACAGACTTTCTTCTGTTATTTTGAATGGAGTGGACAAAATAATAGATACACATAAACAATTCAAGTGCACAACAAATTAAAAGTCAAATAAATAATTCAGCAACCCTATAACAAAGTTTCAACAAAAGCTGAACAATGAAATCTGTTGTATTGGACTTAATTTGCATTAACAAGTAAGTAAGTAAGCAGTAATTTAAACACAGCCCTGGATTGGACATGAACATCAGTATTATTTTTTTTATTCAATCAGTCCCTGCACAAATTGAAAGAGTTTGAACAAGGCCAACATTTATTAGAAAGAGAATACCTCTCTGCCATAGCAAACAAAACAAATCACACAGCTCACAGACGGGTGAAGCATTAAAAGATTCGACCATTAAGAGGCAAAGAAAGAGCACTTATCTTCCACGTCTTTAAAGACAGACAAATGAGGCAGTGATTTGCCATTCTTAAAATGGCATTCAAATTCTCCGAAATTAGATGCAAACTATTTGCAAATGTATGCTCTTTCATGGCCTCCATTCTATTCAAATTGAGCAGCCTATTTTTTAAGAGCCCTTTTCTGTTTGGGGCTGTTGTGGTGCACACAGGGGGAAAACTTCAAAGAGTCAGCTATGGTTTTCTACTTGAACCTAGTTTAAAACTAACTGAAGCTTGCACCAAAGAGACGGGTAACACTTGTATGCTTTCTGATGCTAGTTCTCGAGGACTTTCATCCGTGTGTCAGTTTCCAAAGTCCACCCATCGAGAGAATAAGTTCCATTCACAGCTGCTTACAACTCACAGGTTAACTGGTTTGATATGTGGACTCCTCCAAGGTACTGCAGGCGAGCTGAGACAGCTTTAAATTGAGTTAACATGGAAACTTCAAAATGTAATTTTCTGTGTGATTAACATATTCACCAAACTGCCGTGCCTGCATAGATGTGTTTGATTATCAGTGATAAAAAAACATTAATGCGATTTATTGTGGCGACCATACTCACACTGATCAGCCCGCTTTAAGTTTACGTTTTTGTCAACTGTATCAGGTCATATCTGACTCTATTCACCCCCCCAATATATAGTGCAACACAACAGCATTTTGTCCACGATACAGTACAGTGGACAGAAAGGAAAGGACACTATACATCTGTTACTTTTACTTAACAATGCGTTATGTTCCCTCCTCCACCTTGCCATGTAATCACACTATGCAGAACTCTCCATACCTGCAATGTACATGAACAGTAATGTTGGTAACCACTGCATTAAAGATACATTGTGATCTGCAACAGAGGAATCCTGCATACAAATGATTACATTCAAAAACAACTGTAGTTAATTAAAAAAAGCCAGCCAGGCTTCAGCAGAAGTGAAGCACATCATGCATGAATAAACAAACTCTCACTCATTCACTAAATTACAGGAAACAAAGAGAAAGCTTCTATTCTTCTATCTAAGATATTTGAATGTAAAACAACTGCTGAGTAATTTTTTTCTCATATTGTAGTGAATTAATTTAGTTTGGGTTGATAGTAATAGATATTGAATAAATAAAAGTAAAAAAAAACAAACAGTTAATAGCTCAAATTACCTGACCAAATTAAAGGGCTATGGACTTTTTCCTGCTTTAGACCATCATATTTATATCGGCCTTTAAAAATCGGAAAAAATATAGGTCGAGTTGTTTACTACACATTAGCATGTGTTAAATGCAATAGTGTTTACGGAGTCACACCTAAAATCTGTGAGATTTTATATACAGTGAGAGGAATTGTTCGAAATCTAACTATCCTTGGCTTCAGTGCTTAAAAGGTGAGAGAATGCAGACGCATTTGTATTGATGTAAATAATACACTTATATTCAAGGTAGTGCTTTTATCCCCCACCTGTACCACCTGCTGTGTATGCTTTGGCGTCAAAAATGATTGGAATGTAAATGACTCATTATCTCTGACAGAGTGCAAAGGCTGTGAAAGTCTTTGAATAACAACTTCGCGAAAAACAGAGAAACTCTTATTTAAGCTTAGTAGAGACAAGTGTAAAGGAATCAGTCATTATTTGTGTATGAGAGACAGGCACACGCACAGACACACATACACACAAATAAATCACGCACACATTCACACAACGCTGAATAATGTTCATACTTTTAGAATAGTTACTTCTCTCAATTTTCTCTGTTTGCATGGCCTACCCTCCACACACACACACACATGCAGATCCAGGAAATCTGATGCGATTACACAAAGTGTGACACAAACTCTTCCCATGTGAGCTTTGTCATTGCCAGTGCTTGTTTCATAAGCATCAGGACTCTTTTCCAGTGCTGTATGGAAACCAGTGATGACTTTCAATATTGCTTTTCTTTTGCACTGTATTTTTTCTGCCTCCTACCTTGCCTGAAATAGAAAGCTGTTTGCTAATGTTAGATTAAAAAATAATATTGGTGCCACAACACAGGTCATGCAGTTCACAAATGAGGCAGTTGTTGTATAGAACTGCTACAATTATTTTGCAGCTACATTAGGAGACTGTCCACTTGCCTTGGTTTAATTTTGATGACGAAGGTACATTTTATTTTCAGTGTGGTCCGGTGGTTAGCACTGTCACCTCACAGCAAGAAGATTCCAGGTATGAATCCCAACTGGGCTGAGAACTTTCTGTGTGAAGTTTGCATGTTATCTCTAGCATGCACCCTGCCTTTTGCCCAATGTCAGCTGGGACTGGCTCCAGCTCCCTCTGCAACCCTCAAAGAATAACCGTTATAGATAATGGATGGATGGATGATATATTCCCCTGCTAGCAGTCTTCCCTTGCCTTTGTTGAAGCCTTGAACCAAATGTCAAAGGGTGGAATGGTATGAAAATCATGCAAATACACAACACAGAATAAAATGGGACTCACATGGAGTACATTGGTCCACAGATTATCCTTATGACAATCAGACTAAGATGCTGCCATGTTGGGGAAAGGAAAAAGTAGCTGGTCAAGTTCCACCAATTTTTTAAGTGCTGATATTAGTTTTGTTAATTGGTTTACCCATAGTTTACCCAACTAGATTGCAAAGGAAACCTAGTATCCTGTATTATATGAATCAGTGCTTTGTTGTATATTTTATGACCCTGCTTCTTAAATCCTTGTCAAGCTCATTCCTTTCCCCCCTTGTGTTAGGGTTATTGATTGGCTTGCTTTAATAGTCTTCCTGTCTGCATGTCAAATAGTAAACACTGTGATTCTCCTTTTATTTCAAGGCTGCTATTCCTACAAAAAAACTTTACACCCCCCAAAATTCACATAAGTGAGGCTTTTTTGAAAGCTTATCTTCGGTCTCCATCTTTCTAGATTTCCCAACGTCCCATTCATCTTCATCACTGTAAAGAGCAAACATGAGAAACTTGAGAAAGATTATCTCGCCATCTGCTCTCCATTCACACACACCCACCCACACACACACAATTACTGTCATTCTCCTACTGAAAACAATGAGTTGTTGGCTATTGAAGTGAGCCACCATTGTGATACAACGGCTTAACTGACTCCTTCATCTCCTGGTTCTCCTCGGAGTATTTGAGTTTGACAAACTCGGCAGAGACTCACAAGCAGAGACATGGTTGTATGAATGGTGACGATGATCTGATGCGAGCTGAGCAGGGCCAGCAGAAAGTGACAGAGGAGACGACCTTGTAAATCAAGTAGCTATCATAATCCCTCCCTGCAGGGCCTGAAATGAAACATGTCATTTCAGTGCTTTTGCTGCTTTTTTATCATCTATGTCACTGTTGAATATGATGGAGACAAGGTGCATGGAGACACTCATACTCAAACACACACACACACACACACAGACTGTAATGTGTGTAACACTGCTGTGTTGGATATTCTACTGAATGCCAATATTGATGAGGTTAGCAGTGAGTATTAATCCCTGTCAGGTTAAGGCTTTGGTGCAGTGCAGGAGAGGGCAAACGGTCATGAAGAGCGGTGAAAAGATTATTATCCCCATTAAGATGCCGTAACGCCACTCCACCATCTATCAGTCCACCTCTCCCCCTCCGTCAGCCTGTCTCCAGATTCCTCCTGCTCTCTACACCTTCCCTTGAATTTGATTGATTTCCTGCACAAACATATCATTTTATTTCTCTCTAGGCCACACTTACTCTCTACTCTTCCACTTCTCTTTGTTATTCTTCTAATTTTACAAAAATTTCTCTTCTATAGACAATCTCGATCGAATTTTCCTTTTTCAGATTTGTATCCACCAGTTCTGCAAAACTTCTGTCTTCAAATACTTGATCCAGCTATTAGCTCTGAAATGTGTGCTAAAATTTAGTATAGCAAGTGTGTGTGTGTGTGTGCGTGTGTGTGTGCTCGCGCAACATTATCCAACCAGCCTTGATTGCGAAAGCTGATACTTGACTGACGAGGGTGATGTTCACAAACTTCAACTCCAGAAAGCTGCTCCACATCAACAAATGATGAAATGAGGCACTTGTAGTAAACACGGGCCTGTTTTTTTGTCTTGTAGAGAGTCGCCTCCGCTGATTGCTTTATTGAACTGCTTGTTTGTGTCTTTTCACTGTGAGTAAGTGAAGGATCTGTAAGCTAATAGACGAGTAACCGGTTGAGTGAACAAGTGACTGACTAGGTGTGGAAGTGGGGGACTGATGGACTTGATGAGTGAGAGGATGTGGGAATGAGATAAGCAGCTTGATCCCACTTCACAACACTGCACTTGGCACCTGTGAATGAGCTTCACTTTGATCAGTGTTGCGCTCTTCCAGCCCGCGTTGCTCCTCTGCCTCCCTGCTGCTCCACTTCTCCCACAGATGATGACGGGGCCCAGGGGCACCACATCAGAGGACCTGAGAGTACTGTGCGTATGTTTGTGTGCGGATGTCTGTGTCTGTCAGGGTGGAGACCTGGCTACGAGGCCTCCAGGTGAACAAGCATCGGGAGAGTGACACACTACTCAGACGCACACGCCGACATCTGTTTATCCAATAAACAACATTAAAATTACATGGCATATCAAGTGAGGGAAGATTAATTTGCTAGGGGCGTGTTTAACATCAAACTGTGGGAGAGTTGAGATCTGCCATTCACGCCCAATCATCAATCTGTCAAAAAAAGTTCTTCAAGTGCAATGTGCAGTACAGCCAAGAGCAAAACTGATCTGAGCTTTCACATTTCTGACATCCTCACCAGAACATTGCCCCCTTGCTTGTGGCAGTTCAGAAACTGCCCAAAATCTGTCTGAAACTTTTTCATAAGTAGCCTTGTCTAAATGTGGGAAAATTACCAAATCTACCCTATGACAGAGTACATCTGATATTACAGAATGGTGCAGCTGGTTCATGTTCTACTGGTAAATATTGGATGTGATAACAAAAAATTTAACTATCATCAAAAGGACATGCAAAAGCCCCATAATAATAAAATGTAATCCCTAACCCACTTTGGACAGCTGACCATAAAACTAAAATGATCAATCTGAAAACTTTGTCGAGGGTCAGCTACGATCAACCGAGCGTAAACAATGTATTTCAAGCCTAATATAATGCAAGACAGTGGTGAACAGACAATTTAATCAGAACATTGAAAAACTGTCCTCAATTTCGATATTGTTTATTGCTTGCACTAAAAATAGAAGTGGGTGTTCCAATGCATTTCAAATCAAATTACAGCTGCAAAAACAAGCAATGTTATTTTTTATAATATTCTTGAGATCTATAGAAAACTGGCCTTTCCCTTTTAGTCTGGGTGAGCAAGTAAGACTGATGAGATTTAGCATCAATCCAGACATTCTCTTTACATTTAACAAGTATTACATTCATTTTGATGAATGTTGTATTTGTGTTTCTTTCTTTAAATTATATTTTACCCCTTAACAGACCCACAGAATCGTTATCTTGGGACAGACGGCAACCTTGGCTGTAAAATCACATGAGGAAATTGCTCTGTCAAATGTCATTAAATATTTTTCTGAAGGTTCTTTAGCGAAAAGGCACGACCCAAGAGAGCAGCATGCAACTAACTGAGTGGCTGCTGTGCAGTGGAAATGACACAGGTGCCTCTTGGGTTTTGATAAAAATATCAAAGCTGTGTTCATTAAAATTCAACCTGATGTGATTTTAATCACAAGTTTGGCATCAAAAGTTTCTCTGTTAAGTTACTAAGGATTGTGACTTCTTAATGTGACAAAACTTCATGTTCTCAGTATCACAAATGTTGAGAACGACTGATTAAAGACAATTCTTTTAACTCAGTTATTGCTAATATGAATTTATGCCTAACACTTGACTTCGTCTTAAGTTATTTTTGTCTGGTGAAGAACTCCTGCTGATTATTTTACACAATTAAAAAACCAAAACAAATGTAGGACACAGGTTGTCTGCTTTAAAGTTTCTAAATCAGCTTTGGGTGTTTAATACATCACAGCCAAGGAGCTGCAGCGTCACGTCTCATAAGTGACACCTCAGGGAGCCTGGAGTTCTACTTCCCTTTAAAATCAAATTCTTTTCTCAGTAAGCCTTTTGTGGATGTTTTTTCTTAATTTTCTGAATTTCTGTTCCTCTTTTACTCTGATTAAGGGTCTTGGTATATTCATGAAGGAGATGAAAACCAAATCCATTTTTATATCCTCTAGTTAACAACTGCAAAAAAAATAAAGAAAAAAGAAGCAGCTGTAATCTTTCCTGGGGACTTTCTAGTTTCATAAACTGCCAGCAAGCGTGTGACCGGCATCTTCAACAATAATCAGCGCCCTTGGGGATGAGGCTGCTGAAGTGGAGCCATTTACATAGCTTGTATTGTGCAACAAGTATGTAGTAAATGTATAGCTGCTGAAATGTTTGCCTTTTAATCACAGGAGGGTTGTGCTTCCTATGTCCATGTCCTAGACTGTCATTTATCCCCATTACTAATGACTGCAAGAGGCCTCGTAGATTCAGGCAGCAGATCGGAGTCTGTAGTGAGGGTAGATTTCTTAAGTGTTGACCGTACTATCCATGTTCTGTCGGCTGAGAATTGCATATCTGATCCGGTCACACACTTTTCATTCTATTCCAATGGTAGCACCTGGAGCGGGCGCAGTGGACACAGTCAGGAATGTCACAAATATTGGGCTGCGCAGACGTTCACATAGCGGTCCGTGCATTCCCTAGCAGACATAGCTGGATGATGACGTCTGTCGCAAGGACCACAGTGGACGCAATAAGACTAGCGCACACTTAGTGGACTGGACACTGCCTATGCTTACATTATTTACCTAACTGTTATCTATAGTGAATGTAAAGAGATGAGCGGAAATGGCCATCCAAGCCACCTAGAAACTTTAAAATGCTACAAATCATGAATCAACTTGAGAGCTAAGGGGACTGACTTAGATTTTCTGAACGATGAGGTTCTTGGAATGTAAAATAATAATCTAAAATACTTAAATGTGTGTTTTTACCTCATTAAAATCCCAAAGTCATTCCTAATTATTACGAACTATTCCTGTTGCGGTCATACGTGCATGGTGGCGCTGCCCTCAAATCATATTTGATATAACTTAACATCACCTCTTGTACTTCTCACTTCTTCACTGATAACTAGCGGGTATATGTTTTTTTTTTAAAGCATGTAAACCCACTAAAAGTAAAAATTTACTCCTTTCCCATTGCCAGTGGAAGAGTTTGTCTTTCAGTTTTTCTCCCGCTGCATCATGTTCAACATCACAAACCCACAGCAAACTGAGGCACTCTCTCACCTCGCTGTCTGCCTACAGGCTAAATTGGCAAATTCATCAAGAAGTCTCGTTTCCATCACTGCAGATGGGAGCCAGAGACAATTAAAACCTGTGACTACTGCAGAGTCATTTGACCATGGGAGTAAATGCAGATCGCATCAATTCCCATTGCAGACAAAAGCCAGATGTTAGCAGATGTTAGTGGGTTTATTGTCTTGTGAAAAAGGGGCTTGAGTTGGCATGGCCACGGTATTTAAATTGTAAAACATTAAGTTAGAAAAAAAAATGTATTTGGTATTTTTGAACAGGCTGTGGTGACTATCCCCGAAAGCCACTGTGTAATTGGAACACTGCTCCAAACATCTATTATAAGAACAAACTTTATTGTTTAGAGCTGTCGAAGCTGATGACCCATGAAAATGATTTTACAGGTCACGCAGCTGGAGAAGTCATTAAATAAATAAATATATAAAAATCACCCTTCAAGAAAGCTAAATTATTTCCTACAAAAAAATATATATATAAACCATATCTTCATTAAAACACACGTCATAGGAAATGTGGGCAGCAGGTAGGGAGGGGGCAGCAACATGGCAGCAATTAAGATTTTGCATATTGATGGCTACACAGAGCAACAAAACAACACAGGAGCAGACTCTCGGTGCAAACCAGTGCAGATGGGATCTAAGTGATAAAAGGAGGGTGTGTTTGATCTGTGCTGGTGATTGTGTCAGATATCTACCTTTACTCCACAGGATGTGGAGGTAATTCACATCCAGAGGCTGGTTGAGAATGATCAGACAGATCTTCAGCGTGCCTTAAAAGGGCAGAAGAAAGGAAATCCATGAATTATAAACAATTAGACAGTTAATAGAGGGTAACAGTCAAACAGCAAAAACTGTAAAGACCTCATTATTTACATGTTCGTAACAAAACCTTTTAAATACTGATTGTAGGTCGCTGTTTGTGGCACTGAATGTGCTAATTACGGAGCATAATTAATGCAAAGCCATGATAATAGGGGCATTATTATGCTCCACGTGGAGAGCGGGAAAAGAGGATTACAAACGGAAAACATTTCATATAATCAGAGTTCAAATCGTTTTCCACTCGATCCAGTGAAGCTGCAAGTGGTTTGCATGGAACATCAGGAGATAAAAAAAAACCTAGAACCGAAGTACAGACAATGTGTATCCAAATGATTCAATGATTTCCCTCAACTGCATTAGCTGAACTCTGAACTCTTCTTGACCTTTTCTTTTAATATTTATAAAGGAAAATCTGTGCATCTCATCGGTGCTCTATACTTTGCCCTTGGTGACACAGCATCTGTAGCTTCTCTCTTTCCTCTCAGTGTACCTCCACGTCTCTATGTCAAACTCTCTGTCCCCGTCATTGATTTATCATTTCATAAATCTATTTCCTCCTGTAAACCCCCACATCCATCTTGCTTTTAGCTTTTCTTTGTGCTCTGCTGCTAATGCGGATCCCCTGACTAATGTTTCAGGGCTGTCAATTTTCTATTTGCAGGGGATGAAAAATAAAATTATCAGAGACTCTGCATTGATTGACAAAAGTAAAACACAGAGCTGCTCTAAAAACAGCCTTAATGGACCAAAGACTAAAGAACAAGCTTTCTTCGCCTTCACATTCACACTTCACACTGCTCATTTATCTTTTCATGTCTGCTGTATGAATAATTTCTTATCCAACTCATACAGTTGCAGTCTTTTGTGGCAAACCCAAAATGCCATATGCATGCTTAAGTGGCAGTCCATGATTGCAATGCCCCCTTCCCTCTTGTAAACTGTATTTATGTAAATTGACCCAAACTGGATCCCAGTTTCAGGGCTATTATCTACTAAGGCTTGCACCAGTAAAAGCAACAGTGAAGGACAAATAAGCAGAATATAGTTTTGGTTTCTTGGAATTCTCTTTTCAAAAAGTGTATCACCTTGTGTCCTAAAAAGTGTAAAAGAGTGAATTTTAGCTTTGCCGAGGAGGTGTGGAGAAAAAAAAGTCCTTTAGGTGTGTGACTTTGTTGCGGCGGCTTGATGTTATTAAAAAATTCACATCACTGGAAGGTCATCTCCAAGCGAAAGTCAACCCCAGACTGGTGTGGTTAAAGGCAGAGGGTAAGAAGGGGGGAGTATAAAGGGGAGACAGAGGAGGAGGTAAAGAAAGGAGAACACATGGAAGGTTAGAAGGGAGGGAGGGTGGAGTAGATTTGTCAGTCTTGTCTCTTAATTGGCTGGAGGTGTACAGAGAACAAAACACAAACTCAACCAGCCGTGACTTTTCAGATAACCCTTCGTCGTAAAAGTGAACACTCACACACACACTGTGCAGCCTTTTGTGCACTCTCTTCAAAGAAATGTCACCTTGGGATTTTTTATAAAGTGCCAGACAGCATAAATACCACAACAACACACACAAAGGCAAGATCCAAGAAAGTACATAAACTAGCACATAAGATATTCCAAGAATACGCATTTGTATAAAATGAATGCTAACTGTGCACACGATGTGTTTTAAAATGCACATATCCAGGGGCTGTTTTTATATTCTCCTTCGGGAGTCTAGATAAGCAGTTCCTTGAAGGGATTCAACTAAAGAAGACATAGAAATACACTCTAAACTTATCTAACAGGGTACAAGCTTCATATTGGAAAGACGTTTTTTTAAAATGTGTACAATTCAAGGAATCTCTTACAGATCTTCTTTGATAGCGGGCGGCAACATATCAGATTTGTTCTATTCTGCAACCATTCAGGGATTATTTGTGCATCCTGTGAAATCTTCAGATAAGTCTAGGATTTGAACGGTGTAGCCCATAACGTTTGGCTAACACATTTAAGCAAACATTTGTCTCAATGGATGCTTCACAACAGCTGATATCAGCAGTGAGTGCCTCTTGACTGATGTTGGCCTTTGGGGTTATTGATTTTCAAGCTGTACAAGCAGTTCTGTGTTCCTGCTCTGCACAAATCACATACATGCGAGAATTTATACGAGCTTATGTAGATGTACAGAAGTGCGATTACCATAGCCTTTGTAGTTTAACGTAATTATTGTAGTGATTTAAAACATTCAACAAGAATCAATGGACATAGAGATGGAGAGGAAAAAGAAGAAGAATGCAATGTACTACTACAATGCAACATATACTATTATAAATACATGGTAAATAATTTAGTGCTGAAAGCCTTTAGAGTCACTCCAGAAATATGTTCCTGAAATATTAGATGGGAAGTGAGCTGTGATTGGTAGCCAGCCCTCTGCAGCCTCAAGTCAGCACAAGTGAGGGTCAAAGCAGATCGATGGAGAATCATGTGCACATTGTTTGATTGACACGCAGCCCAGAGCAAATGGCAAAGAATAAATCTTCACGCCAGCGCAAACATCAACTGATAAATCGTGAACGAAGGAGTCCTAAACAAATATTCATCAGTGTAGGGTTTCTTTTTTATCAAATTGTGGCTTTATTATTGTCAAACATTTTGATTAAATACTAATTAAGATAAAAATGATTTAACATTCAGCTAGTTTCATCACCTTGATTTTTATAAAACTCCCTCAGGTCTGGTGGTGACAGAAAGGCAGACTGCTCTTTTTCCTTCTCATAATATTTCAGTTTCCTTATTCCACTCTTGCTGTCCCAGCTGTCCCATCACCCACTGCCCTGACGTCCCTGCTGGTATCCTAGTCTCTGGCCAGACACCTTCCTCTGTTTGGCCCTGAAACATACTGGCACTGTACTGGTCTAACCCGAGGGTCTAGCAGCTCAGAGGAGGAAGTTGTAAGGAAGGACATTGCTTCTCCTGCATTGGGCCAGGTTTTTGCAACACTGTGCCACACCAACACACCTACGAGATCCAAATGCATTTTGGTTCCAATTCGCCCATCTGTTCGGCTCGTTTCAGCGCAGATTTACCACCGCCATTGGCATTTACCGGTCACTTTTACCAATCTACAGCAGTAGAAATATCTTAGCTGTAGGAAGCCTGACTATGCATCACTCAAACCCGATAGACCTAAACCAGCCTGTTCTTGCTCAAGCTCAAGAAAATAGTATGAGAGAGGAGATTTAAAACTATATTGAGATGCTTTTCGGTTCTTAAAGCCATATATATCTTCCTATTGGTATCAAAATGTCAAATAAAACACCAGAAGAAGTGTAAAATATGGAGCCTTTAAATCACTTTGACAGCACGAACATAAATCAGTTCTTGGCATAGACCAAAGCATTCCTCAGCCAATATTTTTTCTCTGGTGGTGTGTTTTTCATGTGAATCATAAATGAATGTCAGAAAACAGACAAGAGAAGACAAGATATTTCATGTTTAACTAGATTACAACTTGACATAGGACTCTTCAGCAGTTCAAACAGTGGCTGGCTAAATAAAAGCAGCAAAACCAAATAACAATTCTTTGTAAAATAAAACCACATATAAGAGAAGATTTCTCTCTGAGGTAAATGCCACAGATACGTCTCTAAACAGCTCACAGTAGTCTTACTGTATTGTCATGGAAATAAATGATGTAGGTGTTTCTGCATTACAAGACAGACATAAGAGACAGAGGTAACTATATGTGCCTGCTGTCTGCTCTGCAGGCCAAACTGATGTACGAGTGCCTTGACCTTTTCCTCTCTGTGTAAAACCTGCCCTTAGGCTCACATCTGCTTTCCACACTCATACACACATCACCATGGAGGTCACATATACTTTGAGAGCAGTGGCTAAAGCCAGCTTCCTCCTCAAGGCTGCAGGGCAGGCAGTGCTGACCATCTGGAGTTTCTTATTTGTTTTTTCTGAGAATCAACAGACACTGAGTATGTTTGATCATCACCGGGTAAATTAATCATCCAACAAAAACTGCATATGTGCAAAGAGAAGAAATGTACTAGTTAAATAATATTGCATGCAAACACACAACTGAGGGTCATTGATTTCCCCCAAAAAACTCACAATCATCACAAACATCACAATCTTTTTAGTACATAATCACAGTCCAGGATCTGAGCTGTGATATTTTTTCGCAATTTTGTAAAGCATATCTGGACTATATATGGATATGGATTTATGGATAAAATATGAAACAGTTCTTGTGTAAGAAAGCCAGTACCAGAGGGCAGCAGGCAGTCCAAAGGTGTCAACTCTTTATCCATGGCAAGGATCCACAGCAGCCCGTCTTCAATCAGCAAACGTACCCTTGACTGAAAACAAGAGGAAAAACAATGTTACTTCTTTTTTTATTGGAATCATTTTTCTATTTTTTCCTTTGGTTCTTTATTCTTCCCTACAGGCAACATATTCCCCCGCAAAAAAGCAGACTGAATGCAAAACACTGACAAGCACACAAGAGCCTCCTATCACTAATTTTTGATCCACAAAATGCATGTGAGCGTAAAGGAAAAAAGAGAAAACCGTGTTTTCTCATAGCCCTTCATCAAATCATCTTGTGTTGTCTTATTAGTTTACAATATGTGACAAGAAACAAAAGCAGCAAATGCTCACCCTGGACTAAATGATAAATAGATGATAGATTCTAGCTCTAACAGACATACAATACAATACAATACATTGCTCATGATGATGATAACATCAACAGAAAGGCCGTGTCGGGACAGTTATTGTGCTACAAACCCCTAAAGCAGAGACATTTATTACAAAACAATTAGCACTAAAACAATTAGTCAATTAACTGATCCGTAAGATAACAGAAAACTAATCTGCAAATATTTATGATCAATGATTAATAGTCTGAGTGATTTATCAAATAAGAATACAGAATTTAGCTTCTTTTTGTCAAATGTCATCATAAATCTAAACGGCTCTTGGTTTTGATTGTATGGACGATGTAAATTGGCCTCTAACATCATAATGGAGGTCAAAATGAAAAAAAAATGATGCGCTATATGAAAAAATGCTCTTCCATTAATCAAGACGTTAACTGAAATGTTCATTAACAAAGATAATCATCCCTATAAATTATTACTATGCAGGGATCAAACTTATAATCATTCACTGCATTTAATAGTTTCATTTAGTTTTATAGTTAACTAAAGTGAAAGTGACAATGTGTGAAATCTTTTTGAAAAACTACAAATGTCAACATGAAGGACACATGGAGGGTTTTTTTCAAGCTGCAAATTAAGTTCAAATTTCTGATTAGAACTTATGTGATATAAACTTTTCATGCTGAAAGAGGCTGCAAGTATTGTAGTAAATAAACGTAACTCTACTAGACTTTCAGTTAAACATGCCGTGAGTGACGCACAATGGGCTCATTCCGCTACTTTGAGAATAAACAAACATACAGCACCTTACACACCTTCAAGATTTACAATCCAGGGAGCAGAGCAGAGCAAACCACGATCAAGAAAGAGAGGTCAGTATGTAGATACTGGTCAGTTATAAATTAACTTCAGTTGAACTTTTAAAAACAGGTTACACCTCCTGTGATAATTGATTGAGAGTCTTTCTCTCCTCCCACTCACGTTCACACTTCAGCTGCAGTAATGTTGTCGACTACAATTATGTTGTTATAGCTTACAAGAGATGTGCCATAATGCAGTTTGGTCAGAAGTTTTTGACTGTGTTATAAATAAAGGATATAGTGCAAATAATTGTGCAGTGAGTCTGTAATGGACCATGCTGAAATGTAGCGTTACAATCAGATCACCTGCAGTGACGTTGGAAACCTGTTCAAATAAACCCCTTAATGTTTTCCAGCTTTAAGTGTGAGTACATTGGGTTTCCACAGTTAGACTTTAATTTAATACTACTGGAGTCGAAACAAGATATTCTGCAGACTTGTGGCTTATAAGAGCTTGGATCATTGTTAGCGGCCACTGCATAAACTGTTAATTATTAACTGTAATGTGCTACACTGGGCTACATTTATGTGGCAAATTAAGTGGACTTTAGCTGCTGTTTAGTTGAATGATTTAATCATTAAATTGCCTACAGCTCTGCTTTGATCGTGGAAAGTATTAAGATTTAAAAACATTTTCCCACAATCATAAATTATAAATGTAGCCCAGTAATTCCAAAGGAACACAATTATAAACACCTTCTCTTTACACTATTATTTCAGTGCAAGTGTATTTTTATATTTCACACAACTGTCACTGGTATCGATCGTGTGGTCCTGCATTTCCATGATTTTGTTATACTTACTGATTTTTTTATAAATTTGTTTATAGTCTTCTTCTAATTTTGTTAGTTAAATGACTTTTTTGTATGTGTAGTTACAAGAGCTTTGTGTTTTACTTTGCTTTTTTTAATTTAGTTTATTTCTCACAATACAAATACATGAATGAAATGTTAAAATGCATGTGGGGTGTGGGAGAAACCAGTACTGGCTTACATGAAACTGCACCCACAAATATAAATAACTAGAATAACTGCACTTCGATGGCATGTCTCCGCGAACCAGTGCAGTTTACTTCCACATATTACTACATTACTTTTCTTTCCAGATTCATTTAAGGTCACTTTGACCTTTATCTTTGACCACTGAATTGTAATCAGTTATTCTGAGTCCAAAAACATCTTTTTGAGGCCAACGTGACTTTGACCTTTAACCACAGAATGTTAATCAGTTCATCAGTGAGTCCAAGTGAACACTTTGACTGAATTCCCTTGAGGTAATTGATTACAGATTTTCCACGGGCCTTTGTTGTTGTTGAATGTTTGTACTAAATAATGGCCTCAAGGCATTTTTAAGATCGTGCCATTACGAGAATAAGACATATGTACGTCCGTATGTACACCGGAACTGACGTACATACACCTGGCCGTACATACTTACGTAGTGACGTACATCCGGACGTACGTACACCTGAGCGTACATTCATCCACATTGACGTCAGAGTGACGGACAACCGGTAAACACAATGCTTCCGGCCACTGGCTGTCGCGGAGTCAAACAACATACCATGCAACAACTAAACCCCGACTGGAGTCACCCACACTATGAGGTGCTTACCAACAACGTTGCTTTTTAAAACCTATCGTGGCAGCACCGCCCTCGGACACCGGGCTGTGTGTCATCCTCACCGGCTCTTCATTCAGCTTCGCCCCGGTGAGACCACGCTTCAACGCCGCTGCGTGCCAATGGACCGCACCGCTTCACGTCGTTCACCGGTAAAAAACAGATTATTCTGACACAAAGCAACTCACACACCAACGCTGTGTTTCACCGCCGATAAGCGACTTCACTTTTAAAAGCTGTCATGGTTGTATTTTGGAAATATTCAGGGAAAACGTCCAAAGTGAAAAGACTTCCGCCATGTGCAGATGTAAACAGTCGACGAGAGCTCACAGAGAAGAGAGGCAGGAGAGAGGTGGGGATTTAGTTATGGGGACACCTAGAGGCTCAAAGTGGAAGTCGCTTTATTCTCCCATATGGAGGCAGCTCTTACCCAGATTCCGTCTCATTCGTTTTTAAAGAGGCAAATTGAGAAATAGTTAAATTTCACTCTAAGTCTCATTCCCAGGAAATGATGTTAATAAGTGAGCCAGTATTCCAATCACTGCTCTCACTCTTCACTGTAAACATCCTCGTCGGCCCCATCGAAACACAGACACTGAACAGATGTCTGCTCTTTCACATCAAATCCACAACATCTGACATTCTGCCAATATGAGGAATACAAAAAATCTTGTAAATCAGCTACTCCCTGACTAATGTGGTTGTGTTTAATGGGTAAGAGACTCTAAAATATTTAAAATGTAATTTCTGGATTAACCAGTGGGACCGAAGGATACTCTCTTAATGTTTAATTCTAATTTAGTTCAGTGGCACATTAATAATCAGACTATTAAATGCTTCACTGACCCCACCCACACACCAGGTTATTAAGTGTCTCAATGAAAGACCAAAGACAGCGGGGCGGATGATCAGGGATCTCTTCAACTATCTCTTCCACTCTACTGCTTAAAGGTGGGAGGTAAAAAAAAAAAAACTGAAAAAGTATAATTTGTATGACCCGACTGACAACATTTTTTTTTAAATTATTAGATTATTATCAATTAGGCTGAGAAATCCCTACAAAACAGGGCTGCAGCAACCTTTAAAGACACAGAGGTAATGTTCTCTATATTTTATTGTGGTTAATTATCAGGGTGGTGTTGCATTCATGTGGTGGGAATTTTATTCGCAGATTCATAATTTAATAGTTTTTCTTTTTACACTTTCAATATGTCAACTGTTTGTAAAAATGACTTTGTCAGATGATGAGTGTTGAAGAAAGTTTTGACCCTTATCACAGAAGTTGAGCGTTAACATACTTTATCATAGAATGTGCATTTGATGCAACTTTATGCTTCTACTCCACTATAGTTTGGGGGTAAATACTGTATGTCTTTACTTTACTCTTTATATATATTACCTTCAGGAGAGCTGTAACGATTCTCAAACCGAGGCCCAAATCGCGGTCCAGACGCCCACGGTTTTGTGACGCAAACCATAACACGGAATTGCAACACGTCTCCCTGCCCAACCCCACACTCTGCAGCCTGTTGAGCTCTCATTACGTCACGCCCGGGCCACACTGGCTGCGGTTGCACCGTGGAGCGGCTGTCTGTTGTTCACACAGGCAGCGTGTCTGCTGCGATTTGGCAGAGGAGCTGTTACTGCAAGCGCTCTGTTTATCAGCTATTATATCCAGATAGCTGTTAATACAAATTAGCTATGTCGCCTGGAGGTCAAACACTTACAAAAAGCTTCTGGTTCTGCTTTTCTACGACATCAGTGATGGATCCGAAGAGTCCAGTGGACGAGGAGTTGATTTTCTCCACCAGGACGTGCTGAGCGCTGCCCTGTCTCACGTCTCCTGGATCAACAGGACCACTTTCTCTCTGGTGGAGCCGGAGAAAGGGACTTGAATGTGCAGGGAGGGCAGAAGTTGGGACGCCTGGTCCTCGACGGCTTCTGGCAGCCCAACGGCCATTATGCTGAGCTGCTGGGAGGGGATGTTGAGGCAGGTGTTCTGCGGAGGATGCCAGAAGCTGCGTAGAACTCTGGGTACCACCTCTTGTGGACTCTGGAGATTAGAGCTGAGGGGCTCTTGCTGCTCCTCTAATAGGAGCTTGTTGTACTTCTGAGCCTCATTGATGACCTGTTTTAAAATCAATTCACAGCAGCACAGAGACAAAACGAGCACTGCATTATAACCCATAATGGAAAGCAATGGAGGAGCGATGCTTACCCTTTGCACACGTTGCACAAAGGTTACTATATTTACGCTACAGATACTATTTGACCTACTCAGTCTCTCTCTCTCACACACCCTGATGCTGCACGCTTGAGATGTCTTCTGACAGCAGTAGAAACAGTGTAATGTGAGAAACAAAATGTCTCTCAAGGTGAATCCCCTCTCGAGGCTCATTAAAACAAATGCTCTCTCATCAGTCAGCACTCACAGCGTCTACCAGACAGACTGGGCATGCGAAAAAGAAGAAAAATCCAGTAAACCTGATGCGTAGTTTTGCACTGACATGTAAAGGCTACACGCCGCACGCACGGCCATGCCCAGGTGCACGGGGAAGTCATTCGTTCTGCGGACATGCATTATAAATACTCCTATGAATAAATTCCCGGATGAGTGCTGAGTGGATTTTTATTTATTTATTTATTTTACAAGGCCGGACCACTGAGGTGTTTGTTCGAATCTCTCTCTTTTTCTCTGCATGTGGCTAACGAGCTCCCCATATCATGTCCATTAATGTTTCTAATATTTCATATGTCCCCCCTATGTCCTCTCTGTTTCTTCTGTTCTCTGTTTTATAACGTTCATCTTACATTTCTAATGATTCCCACGCCATGTGCAGTTTGGCTCCACGTATGTACTCTATTTAGAATTCCCTAATATAATCTTTTCTCCCTCACTCTGCAAGAGGAGGTCAATAGTGAGAAAGTAGGTCAGTTGTGGAAAAAAAGAAAAACTAAGTAAAGATTAGAATGCAGCCACTTGTTTTGATGCAGGGATGAAGGTTAATTACACGGCCAAAAATCAAACAGGAGATTTAGGAACATTTGGACTATTAAACAATTTGAGTGGCTTCTGAATTAGTCATTGCAGCCTCTGCTTGTGCCGAGTGCTGTGCAGCCACAGGTTGTTCAAGACCAGGGATGTTTATATTAAAATTTACTGGGGATCTCATATTATGCCAAACTTGGAATAGTATATCATGTAAACATCATAACATTTTGATGAAGAGCTGGAACTCATATAGAATATACACTGTATACTTACATGATAATGTCAGTCAGGGTGAACTTAAATGATTTACCGTCCATTAAGTTTATTTAAAGGCCCCGTACATTTGACTAGGATCCGCGTTAAACAAGTAGCCAAGCTCTCTACATCTACAGCTCTCTAATCAACACGTTATATTCATATTTTCACAGGGCTGCCTATGTGGGAGTATTTCTTGGCGCGGCGCTGGGACTTCCTGGTGTCTTGTCAGCACTGTGCAGTTGACAGGAACCCAGCAGAGACTCTTGGCAGTCACTGAAGTTACACCTTGTGAGCATTTTTGTATAGACTAAATAAATTAGAATATAACATTTCAGGTTATGAACTTTACAAGTGCTCGTTGGTTGATTTTTAACCTTTAGACTGAGCTGTTCCTCCTATTTCTGGTTTATATGCCAAGTTAAGCAAACTTAGTCCTGACCGTAGTGTATTTATTTTCTCTCTCTCTGCACAGAAAGGTGAACAAGCGAACTCTTAAATTTAGGTTGAAATAATTTTGACAACACAGCATCTTGGATTGTTTAAAGATTTCTATGTTTTCCATATCTCCCCACGAGGCCAATGTCTTGTCTTTCAGTCAAACTAAAGAAACGACTGGCTCACGTTTAACGCACACTGTGGAAATTCCTACTGCTGGCAGGTGGTTGAGCCCCTAGAAAAAAAGAAAAGAAATACACTATTCCCGAGAAGTGAACCTCTGCCAAGCATTCATCTGCTGCCTTTCTTTCCACTTGCACAAGGTTATAATAGAAGTGGTTCATAATCTCCAGCCAATTGCTTTTTAATCATGTCTTTGCAGAACATTGTGGTGGATCTTTCTCGTGCAGCTAATTACCCTCGCTATTTGGCACATCAGAACCTGTAGGGCTGGTGCCAATCTCTCACCTGATAGAGAACAGCAGGGGTAACGTCGGGCCACAAATGCCAGTCGCTTAAGCCAGAGACCACCGACGCTCTGTTTCTTCCTTACCACCTGGTTACTCACATCACATTGAGGCTGTTTTTTTAATTTCGTTTTCTCCTCAAGGTCACATCACGGTGAAGTGAGCGTGTTTGCTTTCAGTTCATTTTAATATCCGCTCTCAGCCGATACACGGGTCACATCATTACCTTGCTTCCCCCCCCCCCACTCTTCAGCTCCTTCTCTATCTTCAATACTTCCGATGATTACCTTAAGTCCATTCTGTCATCTCTCTTTCACCTGTTCTTCTGTTTGTGTCTCCTTTATTCCTTTTTATCTGTCTCAGTCTCAACTGCTTTTCCTTTTTTTCTCTCTCTTCACTGGCGTTCAGCTTTTACTTCGCCTCATTGTGCCTGTCTGCTCATCGTGCTCTCTGGTTTTTCATTCGTGCTGCACTGTTTTTCACTAAAAAGTATTTCTTTTTTTAAGTCTGATAAAAGTGGAAGGCTGCTAAAACAAGGCAGTTCAGGTTACCGGGTGGGGGAATGTATAGCTCTGTCCTGTCGATGACCTGTTTTAGTTTGGAATGAAGAAAACACAAGAGCCCTTGTTTGTGAAATGGATTCCTCTGCCTTGGTCAACTAGGTTAAATGCAACACAGTCAGCTGCGCCATTAGGAGAGTGGTTAACAAATGGCACTGAAGTCAGGCACACACTGTTTGAGCCAGATTTTAAGCAACTCATTTTACAGTCAGACCGATTTTCAGTTTCGTCTTGCGTCGTGTACAGGGTGCAAGGAGTGATCAGATGCTCCCGACCGCTTGTGGCACAGTCGAATGAATTTCTGACACATCAGGAAACTCGGTCGGCCGTCGCCAGGCTCTTGCACGGTTGAAGCATAGTCACGAGTCGATTCAGCCCCTAATCAGCACCTTTTTTCCCTCACTGCGTCTGCATAAAATGATAAAACACAAGTAGGAAATGTGGTTTAAGGCTGGAAGCAATTTCACAAGAAAGAAAAAGGAGATAAAGAGGTTCCTACACTACTTTAATCAGAGTGTAGGTAAATGTTTATTGTA